GTTGGGAGTGTTTCATAATGGCTCACAGCAGGAGCTAGGACATTCAGTGAAGGATGAGTGAGTCCTACCTCTCCTCTGGCGTCCGAAGCCACACACGCTTTCGGCCATTCTTGGCCTCCATGGTGGCAGCCTCAAGGCAGCAGAGCAGCAGCCAATGGGAAAAATAGCTCAGATGTGGTGGTGTCAGGTGACCCGTCTCCTGCTGCAGGAAGTCACGCACAACGTCCTCGGAGACATCTGCAGAGTTTCCATCCACCGCCCTGAAAGAAAAGGTGAGAAAAGGACAGGTGTTGAGCAACTATGAGAGAGGAAGTAGACAGAACGAAGAATCATAACTTAATAAGTCTATGTCATTTTTATTTAAACTCACCAACTGCTACGCCAGCTGATACATTTAAAGAAAATCTAATGCTTGAGATTTCCATGGCTGCAAAATTCGTTTAACATGTTTACCTCTCATATAAAGCACAGTTTCTTTTCTGAGGACAATACTGGCAGGTTTGTCTGTTTGTCAGGATGTCAGGAAGTCTGGACAAACGGCTCTGCTTCTCCTCTTTCTCCACACAGTTGTGAATGTAATGAACCAAGGTGTTCCTCAGCTTCAGCAGTTCTGAAATAAAAAGCAATAATAGGTTTAGCAATAAAAGTGAAAGAGTGTAAAAAGACAAGGTTCTTCTTTGCTTTCACTGCTCCATATGACTACAGGGAGCCACCACTGCACAACATTTTAAGATTCTATAATTATTAATGACAACAAATAATATTTGAATATGATTGTTCTCGACTCCTATTGGGCAGGTTGGCTGAGCACATGTGGGTGTACTGTACCTCTGCGGTCCATGTGGGTGGGCACTACAGGGTGCAGGTTGCCAGTCTTGAGGTAAAGCAAGAAGCCAGCTTCAGGGTTGTATCTCTCCAAGCTCATCAGAGTGTAAAGAATGACCTACACAAAGAAAACCACAGTTGTGTGATTAAATGTGCCCATGTATTGTAAACTTGCCTTTTCACCTGACTTAGTCTACGTGTGTGTTGAGCACACTGTGGTCCACCAACCTGACTGCGATGCTCTATTGAGTTTGACTCCTTTCCAGTTTTCAGCTCTAGGGGGACAGTTTTCTCCTCCAGGGTTCTGTGACTTCGTCTTTGGATTCGAACACGTGCCGTCACATCAATTTTCCCTTTCAGGCCAAATCTCGGTGACCACACATTCTCTTCTATATCTGCCAGCTCTGTAACCGTGACAACAGTTGCCGAGTCCTGACACCTGCTTGGAGCTCGGCTGTTGCTAGGGCTGAGGTCGAGACGGAGAGAGACACACAATAATTGGGATTTACAATATTTGCAAAGATATTCTCAAGTCTCACTTTTGACATCCATTACACTGATTAATACCAGATATGGACACAAATCAACCTGGTAGAGTCATCCAGAGTGGATTTCTTAGTTAACAAATCTGTAGCGCTGTGTGTGTGTGTGTGTGTGTGTGTGTCTAACCGGATTACTCCGCAGATGATTGGCGCTCTGTCTGCGGCCATGTGTTAATCAGCTGATGTGCCGCAGCCGGCTCTATTTAACTGCGGCTCGGTTGCAACCGGCGCTCAGCCCGCTGTCCCCCTCCGGTTCACACACACACATACACACACATACACACACTCCCGGCATGCCTCCGTTTGAAAAGAGCCAGCTGCACAGCAAACCGTTCAAACAGCGGAAGAGTTTCGGTAAATGTCTCCACCGGCGCAGCTACCGGACAGAAAGTGGCGCACAAACTGCGGCTGACGGTGTTTTCTTTCTCTCTGCAGCTACCAGGAAGCAAGAGGTGGCGGGAATCCGGTCCAAGTTCCCCAACAAAATCCCGGTAAGACCCGAGTCCCGGTAACATTGTCGGTGGTTTGTCCGTGTTCTGACCTGTCGACCGGCCGCAGGTCATCATCGAGCGCTACGGGCGGGAGAAGTACCTTCCTCCGCTGGACAAAACCAAGTTCCTGGTGCCGCACGAGCTCCCCATGACCCAGTTCGTCACCATCATCAGGTAGAGTTCACCTGCGGACGGAACCGGAGGGACAGGCTGCTCATTGTCACTGTTATTATTGATGATTAATATTAATGTTAATTAATGTTCCCGGGCTGTTTTAGTCTTTAAAAGGTCCGACAATTGTGTTCTAAGGAGTTCCGGTCTAGACCTGCTCTATTTGAAAAGTTCCTGAGATAACTTCTGTTATGAAGTATGGCGCTATACAAATAAACATTGAATTGAAAATTGAATTAAATGTTTAATTTAATTTGTCTTCAAACCAAAATATTAAGTGATTTATTGCACAGACAAAGATTTAACAGTTAATTTAATTACTTTATTTAATGTCTAAACGCTTATTTCTAACTTTAAAGCTACATACGAGAATAAAAGTTATTCGTCTTAATGTAGTCTTTGAACCAGCTCACCTGTCACTGTGGCTCTACTCGGTCCAGCTGAGAGTCAATCGGCAAATCAACCCAGGGCTGGAGGGTTACTTTAAAGATGTAATCTCATTACAGTCAGTAACTTTATCCAGATATCACAGTATTAAAGTAACTTCTAGATTAATTTAACAACAAATTAAAAAGAAGAGAACTGTCAGACAGACAACAGAACTATGTGACCTCTGACCTCCTTTCCTCCCCTGGATGAGGCACTGCTCTCCTACACCAAACCTCTTTCATGAAACTGTTGATTTTTAGCTCAGTTTGCTATGAAACCTCTGCGATGCTCCTTCTGGTTGTGACTCCAGTTTCAGGGTCTCGTTGAGTCCTGAATCCGGCTGCTGGTCTCACTGTAAAGACTCAGGCGGAGGTCACGTTGGGATTCGTTGCAGACCAGCTGATGAAAACACGACGCGGTCACTTCAGATTTTCTCCTCGTTATCTGTTCAGTCACATTGCTCTCTAATGACTCTAATATGGAAAATCTTAATGGACCATGAACTCATCACGCTGGCTCTGAAACTGTCACACAGCTTTATAACAGACGTTTGTTAAATTAAGAACATTTCTCTTAAATTTAATCATTTCTCTGCAGATAGTTTGGTTTTATTTGTAAAGGTTGTAAGATATCTGTCTTAACTTTAAATATTTAAAGCAGCAGCCTCTCCTTCCAGAAACTGTTACATAAATAATATAACAATAACTTCTGGGTTTAAATCTTCCACTTTAGTATCTGTGACGTTCCTCGTTTTCAGTCTCGGTCATGGTTACTCAGCAGAAACTCAGGAGTAAAGTAACTTCAGCCTGAATCAGCTGATGTCACATACAGCAGTTACATAAGTTCCACTACAAACCTGTACCAGCATGAAACTGTTAACGTTTAGTTTGCAGTATATTTAGCCGGTTTCTGGTTTTAAAAAGTGCAATTAAACAATAGGACTAGTATTTAGACTAATAGCATCTTAGTCTAAATACTAACTGGATACTTTATGTAGGTTTTTGTCACTTCTGCAACGTGAAAACAACAAATACTTTAAAATACTGAGAATCCTGAATTGACTCTAGCATGCAGATAAAATGTTGCTTTTCTGGATTTTTCAATGATGCGAACAAAGCAATTCAACTTTTTGTGGAAAAATCCAAAACAATTTATTATTCCAGAATAATTTGTCTTAAAACATGTCTTTGGAGGATCTTTAATAAAACCAACATGTACTGAAACAATCTATTTTTATTTTTTTTGGTGGGGGGGGCTTTTATTGCCTTTATTGGATAGTGACAGCTGAAGATAGACAGAAACGGTGGGCAGAGAGAGGGGATGACACCCAGCAAAGGGCCGCAGATCAGATTCAAACCCGGGCCCCTGCAGCAACTCCGTACAAGGGTCGCCAGCTCTACCGACTGAGCTAACCGGGCGCCTGGACTAAATCATTAATCAACTTTGATTCATTTAAACTCAACTTTGTGTTGATTATTTTGTCCCATAAAGGAACTCTTGGATTGTTTCTGTCCTCTACAATGTGTTTCTCTTTGTGCAATGCATTGTGGGACAGTAGTTTTAGTCTAAATGTTAACTGGATACTCTTAGGTATGTTTTTCCAACGAGAACACAAATCCTTAAAATGCTGATAATTCTGAATGGACTCTGGCACAGAGCGGCAGTGTGCGGCCGTAGTGACTCAGCAGTAAACAATAGTGGATCCACATTAAGTGCTGACCCAGCAGGTATGTGGGGCAGCTAACGGGCAGCGTGCAGCCTGCAGGGACGCCCCTCATAACGTCTCTTTGTCCTCTGTCTCAGGAACCGGATGGCTCTGCTGCCCACTCAGGCCTTCTACCTGCTCATCAACAACGGCGGGCTGGCCAGCATGTCCCTCACCATGGCTCAGGTCTACAAGGACCACCAGGACGAGGACGGCTTCCTCTACATGACCTACGCCTCGCAGGAGATGTTCGGACACAGATTCCCACTTTAGATTTTATCGTTAGCCTCCGTATCTGCTGTAAATGTATTTAAAGAAAAAGAAATGCTTTGTATATATTGTAATATTGGCTATACATGTTTGATTTGTTTGAGATGGATTTTAATTAAAGAGTATTTGGATCCAATAAATCTTAAACTGTAATGAGTGTGTGCCATCTGGTTTAATTAGTATGTAAGGGCTAAATGTGGTTTTACATTATAAAACAAGTAAAATACACCAACTTTTATTTAAAAACCAGGCCTATAAACAGTTCTCTTCCTCCTGTGATCGTAAACATTGATCTGAAGCTCAGTTCTGTAAATGGTTTTCTATTCAAAACAGCAACTTCTGATCAACTCAATTTGAGGCTTAAATGAACCTCTTGTTAATCCTGCTACCAAAGCAGAGTTGGTGATTGTTGGAAACACTAACAGTTTTAATGAGTTTTGTTTCTGTCCACTTTAAAGTGTTTTTACAATTATCTGCTAAAATCACTGCTTTTGTCTGGTGGGCCGTAGCGCACATTGTTTTGGTGTGATACGCTCGTGCTCCAGTGCGTCATTGTCTTCTATCAGGACACTAAACTTTACCCTTTGTCAAGATCAGCTTTAAGTTCTATCAATCTTCAAAATCTAGATCAGAAGGATTAAATCTCAAAACTGGGTATTTTATAAACAAGAGATGTGAGAAATCAAAATCCACCAGAATCCAGATCTAGAGACAGACGTTATTATAGTTCACCAACACTAAAGTTAAAACTAAAACTGTGTGAATAAAACATTTTAATTAACTGAAATAAAATAAAATGTGTTCACACGTGCATGAGGAGGCTGAGACTGTGAGTCAGTGTGTTGATATTGTGATTCTTTATAACTCTTCCCACTATTCCCCTTAGATATTAGAATAAAACAATAATGAATATGAAGAATACACAAACTGTTAATGTTACATTAATGTAACAGTTGGAGGTTTATTAAAGACTGTAAATATAGATTCTGTGATCCTGTGAGGAAGACGAACTGGCCTCCGGATGAAGGACTGCTGCAGTGCATTGTGGGACAGGAAGGGAGCAGATGTGACTGAAGGTTCAGGAACAAGATGTCAGCAGACAGGAATGGATGAGAGCTGCTTTACTTTGTGTTCTCTCCTCCGTCACTAGATGGCAGCAGAGACCCACAAACCGAACAGATTACAGTTTTCCTCAGTTGTTGA